GGGGAGGGAGGGGGAAAAATGAGCTGATAACAAGGGCCCAAGTAGAAAGAAATTGTTTTGAGAATGATGATGGCAACAAATGTACAAATATACTTGACACAATGGATGGATGTATGGATTATGATAAGAGTTCTACGAGCCCCCAATAAAACTATCTAAAAAAAGATTCCAGAAGATGCTGAAATTCAATTGAACAATCTTAGGTAAATCATAGTTTCAGTAGATTTCAAATGCACCAAATAAGGCACAATCGATCAAAATGAAGGCAGCCTTCTTACCATTTTATACTACTGGGTAAGATCCTGCCATTCGCCAAGTACCGGCTGGCTTGATCACCTCCCTTCATATACCTGCTATATCCCACTATGCTCACGGGTTTGATGATGCTCTACGTGGACCTCATAGACCACACTCAATGCCGACTCATAGCGATCCTTTGGGACAGGGTAGACCTGCCCCCATGAGTTTCCAAGGCTGTAACCCTTTATGGGAGTAGAAAGACCCATCTTTCTCCCACAGAGTGGCTAGCAGTTAAGAACTATGCATAACCACTATGCCACCAAAGTGGATTTCATAGAGGCAGCACGGATAATTGAGTCCACACACACCGGCTGCTTGTGCTTCTGTGACCACCAAACATGGGCCCCTTCCACAGAAGCATCATTAATCGTCTTCTGAAGTTCTTGGATTTTTCTTTTAGCATTTTGGCAAGGCACGGTTCCCCCTAGCACCACCGACCAGTGTTTTGTTTCCCAATAACATCTCAGCAGCAGACCCACTGTTGTAGTGATTCCTTGGTAAACATGAAAGCAGTAACTAGGGTACCGTCATAAGACGTCTAATGCTGGGTCTTGTAACTCTCTGCCTCCACAAAGAATCTCCAAGTCAACATGCTGCCAGTCTCCCTTTCACAAAGCACCTTCACTGAAATTCCCGATTTTATTATTTTGGCTGAATTATACATTCCGCAGTGGATACGTCCCCTCCGCTTCGTGGAGGGATGACTGCTGTTTTCATGTAAACGCTGACGTGCGGGAAGCAGCCTGACTTTGTACAGTCTGTCTGTGTTCGTTGCAGCTTGGGCAGCTCGTGAAGACGAAGGTGTCTGCTCCAACCTCACTCCAGTCTCAGTGCTAGCAAACATGAGGGCTTCAGCAAAGAGGCAGTGACCTGGAGGGCTTCCATCTGCCTTTGCCAGTGGCCCCATATGAGCGAGCCCAGAAACTTCTGGATGGCCCTATCGGTAACCTCCATCCGTGAAGTGCTCAAGCTTCATGGCATTTCCCCCCCTCGTTTAGGTGATGATAAGAAGCCGGAAGTACTGTACGTCACATCTGCTGCGATGTGGATTGAACAGTTTGGAAAAAAATGACTTCAATCTTGATTTGTGGGTAAGAAGACAGCATAGAAAATATTGAAAATGGGGCAGGGGCAGGGCAGGAGGGGCTGACACCAAGCGCTCTTTAGAAACTAAATGTCTAGAAAATAATGATGGCAACATCTGTACACATGTGCTTGACACAGTTGATGTATGGATTGTTACAACAGCTGTAAGAGCCCTCAATAAAATGTTTTGGTTGTTTTTTGTTTTTTTTTGAAAAAAGACTTCCAAGCAGAGGAAAAGTGTGGATGGGCGAAATAAGAGACGGGTGTTGAAGGGTCTCAGCACACGTGTGCTTCTTAGAATCTTAGCCTCAATTATTAATAACTAAGACTACGGCGTAGATCACTCCTATATAAAAACCTGTACTGTTTTGGGGCTTACAATCAGCGTCAACAAATCTAAGTGCAGAAATGCATCAACTCAGACCCAAGCAGCAACATACGGGCATGAAACCGTGGGTATACTTGTCACCATGCTTAACACATGGGGTGGCCCGGCATTTCCACATCCGGGAACTTATTTCGCAAACCCAGACCACTGCCTGGTAGTGGGCGGAAAACTGGGGCTTGCTCTGGGCAACACGGCTGGCACTCTGAGGAGCGGGATTTGCACCCGAGTGTATCTGCCTTGCTGGGAGCCTCTTATGCGTGGAAGCCCCTTGTCCTGCTTCAGGTTGACATAGGCTCCCTGGCCCCTTTAACGCTAAGGGCACAGCCCCTGCGGATACTTTTAAACCTCACTGCCTCTGTCTGTAGCAGCAGGTAGCCCCAAGTGACAATACTGGGCTAGAGACTGTGGGGACCAACCCAGACCCTGCCTCCCTGGGGAAGACTTGCCCTCAGGCCTCCATGTGGCCACTGTGGTTCCGAACATCTGCATTCTCAGCAGGTGTTTAAACCTGGGTCAAGATTCAGAATGTTTCGTGCCCTTGCCCCTCCACCGAGGCCAGTCCACCAAGGCCAGTCCCATCTAGGGTGTGTTAAGTCTGAGGGCCGCTTAGTCATTAGAAACAATCACCGGAGAAGGACCTACAGAGCTCTGGGGCCACCCACAGGGCCCTTCCCCTCACTGTCTCAGTTTTCCTATCAATTCAGGAACACTCCAGCACCCATAACTCTAAGAACAACCGGGCCAGGGCATGCGTGTCCTCACCTCACTGGGCAGGGAGGGAGGGCAGTGGGACCTCTCAGCTTAAAACGGGGCTTGGGAACAGGGTCCCCAGCTCAGGTGCCTGTCCTCTCAGAGAAGCCAGTCTGCCTCCATCTAGGGGCCTCTCACTGGCGTGGGGGGGATGGTCCGATGATACCATCGGGGAGGCTAAGGCAGTCGAGTGGGCCATTCCCACGCAAACCCACTGGGCCAATGCTGGAAACCCAGAGTGGTGGATTCTCCCAAGCTTCCTAGGCCAGCAGCCAGAAGAAGATCCAGACAGACCCTGCCCACCCCTGGACAGAGATCCTGTGCTTAGTGGGTGTCTGAGCGGGCAAAAGTCAGTATGGCTGGGGATGGGTTGGGAGGGCCGAGTAGCTGTAGGTGGGAAACCAGAGGTGGCCTTGGGCAGCCTACGGGGTGTCTCCAAGCTTCGGCTACCAGGCTATAAAAATGGGGACAACAGCTGGCAGCCAGAAGGCCCAGTTTCCACCTCACTCTGCCTCCTGCATCGGAGGGCCCTGGGGCCACGCCACCTCCTTAGTGTCTGTAAACTTGGGGTCATTCCTGCCCTGCCAATGGCACAGGAATTCCTATAAGGATCAAATAAAATAACCAACCGAAAGTGCTTGACAAATGTAAGGGATATGGCCTGTATTGATTTTCTCCTGAAAGCCGCTGTGTGTGGAACAGACATGCATAAAACATGAAGGCCCAGCTGCCTCTGCCCCTCCTCTCGGCCGGCCGCACAAGGAGGAGGGGAAGGCGGGGAGCCTGCAGCTGAAAGGGCCTCAGAGGAGAAGCGGGAAAGGTTTCCTGGAGAAACTGGGCCTTTTCAAGATGGGCCTGACACCAACCCTGGGCGCGAGGAAGGGACTCTGGAGCAGGAAGCAGGGCAGAGCAGGGGCTGGAGATGAGGCTGAGACCCAGGCCGGCCCGAGGTCAGGCATCCCAGATGGGCAGCAGAACTGGGAGGGCCAGGCCAGCTCCCACAGCAGCAGGACTGGGTAGAGGAATTCGGAGGTCAAAAAGAGTGGATCCCCTGCACTGGGGCCTGTATGAGGCCGGCAGGAAGGTGGCCGTACCCAGAACAGATCTCTTCAGCCTCAGCTTCTGGCAGGAGGGGCTGCCCACCAGGGATCACCTGCGATGGGGTCCCAGGTCTCCCTGCCGGATTCTGGGCTGACTTCTTCCCGTGAGCAAGGACACGCAAGAGTGAGTATGGAAAGCCCGCTCGGCCTGCACACAGGCATTGGCCAGCCTGAGCTGTGCTTCTCAGAGAGGCCACGTGGGAGGCTGTGAGCCGGAAGCCTGACTCCCAGTGTCGCCCAGTTGTGGTGGCGCTGGCCCAAACCCACCCACCCAGGGAGGTCCCTCAGGAGGCAGGCTTGGGGATCTGCTGGCAGCAAGCCACAGTCTTGAAGGTCCTGTGGGGCAGCTCTCCTCTGCGCACCCACGGGATGGGTCGCCATGAGTTGGAACCACTTAGATGGAGCTGTACAACCAGGGGATGGCAGGGGGTGGGGGAGGGTAGCCAGGGGGAGACCCGGGCCCTACCGCCAAGCAGCAGTGCCACCCTGAGCTCCCAGGGCAGGGCCGACCCTGCCCTCTCCCCTGCATGTTCTCCTCTGAA